TTTAAATTCAAGTTCTATTTATTATTATAAACATTAGAAGAAAGGAATGGTTCTAATAGCTTTCCAACTGTGCTTAGATTAAGCCAACTGTATGTCTGTGGCTCCATTTTTTGACAGCCCAATCAGCTGTTTTGGGCTTTTAAAATGTGCATGTGTGCTGAATCAGTCCACACAGGGGAATGGGAAGAAAGTCTTGTGTTTTGCATAATTGCAGGAATATACAGTCATGCAAAGGTGTGCATTGAGGGGGGAGGGAATCAAGTTTTTAGTGCACCTTTTAAACACATGCTTTTCAGCTGTTAACCCAATTCTGCCTGCACTTCCCCCAAAAGTCATTTAGCCCTTCCCTTTTATTCTGGTTAGTTCTGGATTTTATAGCATGTGTAGAAGGACCCATAGTTACAAATGGGGGTGGCACAACAGGAAGTGAGAGAAGTCTACCACTCAGAAGGGAAATTCATTCCATGTGTATTCTTCATTAATAACTTTTGCTTGACCACAAACAGGTGTGTTTTGGCCACACATATCTGGGTTTTCACAAGTGAAATGTGAGAAAGTAAGATTTTCTGGGTTCTTGTGGGTTTTTTCGGGCTATAGGGCCATGTTCTAGAGGCATTTCTCCTGACACAGAGAAGCCATTGAAATCCACAAGCATGTGGACAATTTCAACAGAAAGGAGGAGACCATGAAAATGAACAAAATCTGGCTACCAGTATTAAAAAACTCTAAAATTACAACAGCAAAACAGCAGAGAGGAAACAACCAGGCACAGCTTAACACCTCTCAACGAAAGATTTTCCCAGGCTCCGCCAGGCCTTCAAATGCTAATGAAGGTGGTCAGTTGAAACATTCACACCTAGCTCCAGCAGAGAAGAGCTCTTTGCCCCACCCCAGCCATTCCACAGATATATAAACCCATTGTCCTAATTCCAACAGACCTCACTACCTCTGAGGATGTTTGCCATAGATGCAGGTGAAACGTCAGGAGAAATGCCTCTAAAATATGGCCCTATAGCCCGAAAAAAACCCACAAGAACCTAGTGATTCCAGCCATGAAAGCCTTCGACAATACATCAAGATTTTCTGGTTGGTGGAGTTCCAGGAGAGCAGTCGACAAGTGTCCAATTTTTTTTACTATAGATAGATTAAGTGCAATGACATTATCTGCAGGAATCTCTACACAACCCCTACAGATGATGTCATGCATTGTTGGCTATAGGAAAATAACTGTTTTTCTATGCCCAGCTATAAGAAAATACCTAGAAGATTGTCTTTGACTTACCCACCTTAAAAACTAAAACATGGCTGGATTGGGGTAAAGGATGTAACTGAGAAAAAGTGGGCTTGCAGCAATTGGACAGGGAGCTATACCCAATTCAGGGTCATGGCCATTATGTCCAGGGGGTAGAACAAACCGCTCTCACTAAAGCTGTTGTATTACATGTCTCATCATTACTAATAATGGCCAGTGATTGGAGATACTTGGACTGGGATTTCACTGGTCTTTCAAAAGTTACAGACCTTCCATCAATGTCCTTAAGTTCTTATCTGACGAAAGATTCTTCCTACATATTAACCTATCACCTACCTTAAACCACTGTAATAAACAGAAGATTTTCATCTTTCAATGCCTGTTGTCCTCATGGAAACTTTTTTTCAACAACTAAAGATTTACTAGAAGAAGAGGCAATTAATGTTATTTTACTGTAAAATGCATCAGTTGGCAGCCCTTCTAAGAACACCCCTGTGGACTTCTGACTCAATGTCCTTACCTGAAAGCACCACCGCAGGCTGTGTCCTAGTTCCCTATATGTGATGCTTCAATCTTTACCTAAATAGGAATGAGTACAAAGGGCTACCATGTGTGTCTGTATTTGTTCCTTCAGGCTTCAACACCACTATTTCCCAAGGTCAGATGGGGAGTGCCTAGTGCTGTAATTTCCTGCATGGTTTTAATGTAGGAAGTAGCCATGTTAAGGTTCTCCATTGGGGGAGGGGAGGAAGAGAGAGCAGAAGGGAGGCATTACTGTTTCCATATATAGAGGAGCTTCTAAGGGCTTTGTCCTTGCAGTGATACATAAATTACTTAGGCCTCTTGGCTCATTGCTGTTATATCACATGCATAGGTATTTCTTAGTTATATAATGAAAGCTGCCTGAGAGTGAGAGTTTAGAAGGGAGAGTTGTACATGTGATTTACAAATCAGCTTATATCTCTCTTGTGCACACTGCATTCCATGATGAGTTTATGTTCCTGTACAAATGGGGGAGGGGTTCCCCTTCCTTCTTTCTTTCTTACTTTAAAAAAGCAATGGTGCTCATATATGTGCTGAGAGCATGATGTCTGTGAAGCTGGAGACACATAAAAGTACAGTACTTTAAATATGATGGCTATAGGTACAGAGGGAGAGAGTGGTCTGTTGCCCAGGTGAATGGGAGAAAGGAGTCCCATGAGTTATGATCCAGGATCAAGGCTTATCTTCCCCATGCTATTCTACCTCTTTCTTTGAGGTACACAGATTGATGAAGAGATATTTACATGTGTATTACAGTAAATGTTCAAGTGGCTTATTAAAAAATTGATTCGTACTATGCTAATTTGGCTATCATTGGCCTAAAGTTTTTTACATTTGTTTGACAATATTAGCATCACTGTATTGTCGAAGGCTTTCATGGCTGGAATCACTAGGTTCTTGTGGGTTTTTACGGGCTATAGAGCCATGTTCTAGAGGCATTTCTCCTGACGTTTCGCCTGCATCTATGGCAAGCATCCTCAGAGGTTGAGAAGGTCTGTTGGAAGTAGGAAAAATGGGTTTATATATCTGTGGAATGGCTGGGGTGGGGCAAGGAGCTCTTCCCTGCTGCAGTTAGGTGTGAATGTTTAGCTGATCACCTTCATTAGCATTTGAAGGCCTGCCTGAGCCTGGGAAAATCTGTTGCTGGGAGGTGTTAATCTGTGCCTGGTTTTTTCCTCTCTGTTGTTTAGCTGTTGTAATTTTAGAGTTTTTTAATACTGGTAGCCAGATTTTGTTCATTTTCATGGTTTCCTCCTTTCTGTTGAAATTGTCCACATGCTTGTGGATTTCAATGGCTTCTCTGTGTAGTCTGACATGGTGGTTGTTGGTGTGGTCCAGCATTTCTGTGTTCTCAAATAATATGCTGTGTCCAGGCTGGTTCATCACTCTCTCTAACAGAAAACTGGGTTGTGAGCAAGCAGGCAAAAAGTGTCAATGCATTTAAGAGAATCTTTCACTTGTATTATGTTGGAAATCACGTCAACTCCCTTTGTGGCAAAGGTAGATATGCATCAGGCAATATATTCTCATATGAGATCTTAGAAATTGAAAAACAGAGATCTCATGGACACCATCACTTTAAGAGGAAGTTTCACAGGGAATCCACATGTCACGTTGCATCAAATTTTGCAAGGTCATAGATGTAATTATTGACCACCTCGATTCTCATGTCAGTTTTCATCATGAGCTCCAATTAAGTGGCAAATGACAGTCATCCAGAGGTTCTGTATCTATTATGTAATAAATTATCGCCTACAAGAATAGCTTACACCAGGGATGGGGAACTCTGTTCATGGGGACAGGGAAAATATCCACCCAGGATGTCCTTTGCTTATAGAAAGTTGAATAAATCTTCTGACATAGAAGTGTCTGCCTAGTCTGTTAATTACCCAAAGGACAATCATTTGGCCAGTTTTCTGAAAGAAACCATCCATACAGGGAACTCCCTGGGAAAGAAAATCCAGGGAGGCCTTTACTGCTTACCCATACCACATCTGTTGCCTAAGACAACAATTTAATCTTCCTAATGATAAAGCCAACCCTTCCGTTATTTCTGATGTGCTCCATTCACAGGGAAAGTTATCTTAATAATTAAGTAAGCTCAAAGTTGCTCAAATGCACTTAAACTAGTTCAAACACCTACTAAGTCACAATTTTTAAAGTGTTCAAAAGGCGCAGCTATTCCATGTTTCCCTTGTTCAAATAATCTTCCTTCATCTCTAGTGCATTCGAGGCTAATTTGGGATTCACATAATGTTTGGATTTGCCACAGTGAATTTCCTCATTTCCATATTGCAAGTAAACAGACCAGATTAGAAAGGCAAATAGAACCTGAAATTGCAAATTGGTCCAATTTGTAGTATGATCATAGGTAAATTCTAATATGTTAATATCCTAACATTCTCAGTGTGCCCCCCCCCCCAATTAAACCTCAAAACATTTATAATTATAATTTTTGGGCAAGGTTTTATTGGAGGTTGATGAAATGTAAAGCACTGCTAGCATATTTACATGGAATGTGTGGGAGGGTGACACTCATAAGTGTCAATAGTGCAATAGGGCAATAGTGCAAGGGATGGGCATTTGATACAATCTAGCTTCCACTGTGAAGCCTCAGAAAAGCACTGCATAAGGGAGTATCAAATTCCTGTTTGTACAAAATCCAGTGTGATATAATGGTTTGATCACTGGACATCTGAAGACCAGGCATTGAATCCCTTCTCAGCCATGGAAATCCACTGGGTGACTTTGCCCAAGTCACAGTCTCGCAACCTCAAAGGAATGCAAAGGCAAGAATTCCTCAATGAACAAACTTTGCCAAGAAAACTCCAGGATATGTTCACCTTAAGGTCTCCATAAGTCAGAAATGACTTGAGGGCGCACAACAATAACAAACTGACTTTATGTGAGCTTGCAGTTGCAGACCTATACAGATACACATTTACCCCAGAGAAAATCCTACTGAGGTCACTGATTAGACACATAGAGGACTATTGTGCTGCCAAGTCACACTCTTAAACACACATTTAATTGAAATTCACTTCTGGGTAAATTCACTTCTTTTTGCAGGTTTACACTGCAAAAAGAAGTAATTGTGAAGAATGTGTATAAAAGCATGTGTGTGCTTTCAGGATGGAGCTATGACATTATCATTTGACTATTTAGAATAAAAACTTCCAGTTTCCACTTTTGTTCTTCCAGAATGCTGACAGCAGAGTATGTGTAGGATGGATGTACATCATGGCAGAGGGTAAGATCTTGTTCCTGGATTTATTCCCTATGATAGGTTTATAATTCTACAGCCAGATACTGAAGAACTAGAAATGTTCAACACTGCATGGTTTATGAAGCAGCCACAGTCTCCATACATTTTTAATAGGGGACATAGACACATCAAGTGAACACTTAGCTTCAGGGTAAATTGACATATAACCAAGCGAAATCCAAAACTAAGTAGGTCAGTATAATCTACAGGCTGACCATGTGTGTTGTGAGGGGAAAGGAGTGATCTGTTTGTACAATGTCTCCCCCTATTTTGCCACAGTTGCACACTTTCAGTTCAATGAATTTAATCTAGTTTATTATCTGGCCAGGCAGAATGTTCAAATAGCAAACTGCATATTATGTAGTACATGTCAAAGCATTTCTTCAAACAACATGTGACAGATGATGGGTTATGGCATTTATTCATAGCACTATGGAGCACAAGGTGTTCAGGGTACATGGATGTCTGGGCTCTCCTTTTCCTGAGATATGGCAATGAAGCTCCTGCTTTGACATCTGCTTCCCCAAGAGGAATTCTGGCTCAGGGAACTACTTGCTTCAGCTAAAAATGCCTTTGATAATTCCCACCACTGCAGGATTCCTCTGCATCAACTGTAATGCTGCTGCATCTGAAAGTGGCTATAAAGCTTCAGCATATGGGATGCCTAGAAGGGAAAATGAAATCAAAGGGCTGTAACATAAAGTCCAGAGTAAGTATAATTGTTGATCATTCTGCCATGTAGGTATTTTTTCTACATAGTATAGTACCCAACAGGCAAAAAGAGATGGACCCAAAGTAAACATTAGGAACACTGGTAGTCAATGTTCCTGCAAAGTTTTGACAGAAAAATGAAGTATACCTTTAGGGTACAATCACACAGACCAGCACTGCAGCTCTGGCTAGGTGTAAGAGGAAATGCAGGCAACACATCTGGTGGATATGATGTTGGCGAAGGTTCTCTAGATGAGGCCTGCACAACTTGTGGCCCCCCATGTCTTGACTATTTTACACGCTGGCTAGGGCTTCTAGGAATTGGTGTCCAAACATCTAGGGGGTGACAAGTTGTGTGACGGAAGGTCTCCGTTTTCCAAGATTACAAGAGATTAGTGAAGAAGGAAGAGACAGAGACAGCTTTTGCAAGTTCACAGAATTTAATGCTTACCCAGGGTAAGGATGCCCCAGCTTCAACATGGCTGATGTGGCATAAGGCACTACCCCAAAAACACCCAGTATTTATAGCCAGAATTACCCAGTTTGCACATGCGCATAATTCTCTTGACATTTACACAATCTAATCAATATCAGTTTGTCCTCGAGAAATCGCAGCCAAGAACACTTGTTGGCAAGATACTATAATTTCCACTGCTCCTCCTTTCATCAGCTGACCTACCACGTTCCCCGATGATTTACATAATCTTTAGAATGAATCATAACTTCATATATTTCTCTTCACACATATATATGATTCCATACATCTTCATATATGTATCTTTAACTTATTCAAAGCAAGCATTTTCCCTTATTAATTCTTCTGTTAATTACTTTCACAATACATTATTTCCCTCAATTGATCCTTTTAAAAAGGTATATTAAATTGCCTGCTATTTACATCAACCAGACAAGAGGTGGCGCTGTTATACCATATCTTCAGATGTTTGTTTCTCTTAGATCAATAATTATCGATTTACTTTCAGAGCCAATTCTTTTGACCTTCCACATTTAGCACATAGCCGCCCTTCTATTTACTTACTTAAGATATGGTCTGCCTTGTCCTGTCCTGTCTTATTCCTGTCCTGTCACCATCTGTTAGTTTCCCTTCCTACTAGAATTACCCCCGCACTTTTAAGAAACCTTAAAAGGTAAGACTTCTTTATTTAACTTCATTAGTTTCATTAGGTTTTAATTATTTTTCTTCTTGACGACTGCCACATACCCCACAAAATCTTGTGACGAAGAAAACTTTCACTTTTCGGAGTCACACCTTAAGTGTGATTATATCACCTTATTTTCCCTGGATAACTGCTGCATCTCTTCTATCTCCATAGTCATAAGTTGTTTCAATTGAGTTCCATGTCGAACATTAGCCGCAGTGACAATTCCTTCAATCATATTTCTTAAGCAAGTAATCACACAAGGTAGTAGGAACATGATTAGAATACCAATTATCAAAATAACAAATCCTATGACAATAAGGTCTTTTAACCATTGGAAATTCGGCAACCAAGAAGTTAACCAGCCAAAAACATTCTCTCCCTTTGGGGCGTATCCAGTTCTGATGGTAGATACTACTTCCTGTATCTTATTTATATCAGATTCAACCTCTCCTGACTTGTTGATATAGTGGCAACATGTGGTATTAAGAAAAGAGCATAGTCCTCCTTCTACAGACAATAGGTAGTCCAAAGCAAGTTTGTGTTGCATCAGGACCCCTGCCAAGGAATCAACTTCCGCTTGCAAAGCTCTTATTCCAGCCACAGTTTTGTTTGCCAGCTTCTCCACTTGAGCTGAGAGTTTCCGAATCTGTTTTACATTTAGAGCTACGCCCACAGCAGGGAACAAGATGGCTCCCAGCCTTTCTCCTTCATTTAAATAAGTTTGGTCTGGGTCATATCCAACTGTTTCATCATAAGCTCTTTTTAAACGTTGTTCTTCACGCTCCCTTCTCCAAGTCATTTGGGATTGTTGTTCTGTGTATATTGTCACATCTGCTAGCATCAGGGTACCTATAGTGCACGTACCCTCCCAAAAAGGCGGCAAAATCTTTCCTGCCCACTGACCACAGATCCAATACAACCCCTGAGATAAGCCTCCTTTGGCTACCAAAGATTTAGGCACTTCCTGATGGGCTTCCACCCCCTTTACCACTCTTGCAGGATTTGATTCTCCTCGACTCTGCTGTGGCCTTTCAATGGGTGGTTCCCCCTGGCCCTGAGGCAGCCCTTTGATAGGAGCCTTTGGTGGTTCACGACTCCTGCTGGCCACTTTAGCCTGGGCCTGTTTAATGTGAGTACCCAATTCTGGTGAAATGACTCCATCAAATCTTTTTACCCTTTTTGAGTGTTCCAAACGGGCTAGGAGACTAATGTCTTCAGAGGCCTCTGTTTTGAATACATGGAGAAGGAGATTACAATTGGGATAATGACCAAGCTCTATTTGGTGTGTGTGGAGAGGGTTGTCCCTATCTTGGGTCCATCTCTCATCTTTCTCCCAAGTAATGCATGCTGGGGCCTCCGGCGAAGTCCCTTCATACGTTACTATAGCTTGTCCTGGATCAAGTAAAGTTTCAGTCATCTCATAATTTTGAGGCCGTAAAGTGCTCCATCCTTTTTGGCTTAATAATGTTCCTACCATTAGTGGCCATCCCTCACGCTGGGAAGTAGGCCCATGACTACAAATCCAACATTCAGTAACTTCTGTTTCATTCGCTATATCCCGAATCATCTGGTGGAATATATTCTGCTCCCATCCTCCCTACACTAACTTCGGGGCAATCACACTCAACACAATCAGGTAATAAGTATTCCACATTCCAAAATGAATAAGCTTTCCCCCATAAAACATGCCTATAATAGTAAACCACCCAGACCAACCCCAAGATAATAAGGAGTCCCACAATCACACTCCCCTCACCAAAAAAGTCCATTAAATCTTCTTTCTTCTTTCTTCTTTCTTCTTGCTTGATTGCAGTTTCAAAAACCAAGTCTCTCTCTTATTCAGGGCAACTTTATTCTCTTATGTTTTAAGTCTTTGAAGTATGTCTTTTTATTTTATTTATGTATGGTTTAATTAGTTCTTTATTCAATCATCCAACTCTTAAGTTTATTTGCTGTAAGTCAGGGTCCTCTGCTGTGTAGTCTTCTCTCTTAAGCAAGCTTAGTTCATCCTCAATTTGACACTTCCTCGTACCAATAGGAATTCATCAAGTAGCAGACCCCTTTCACTCCTGTCTCAGGTGTCACACTCCCCAGGATCTTTCAGCCACTTTAAATCCTCTGGTAAAACAGGGGGATACTGTAACAAGTAATTAATTAACATTTTTAAAATCTGTACTTCTTTCCTTGATGCTTAATCCTCCTCCACTTTCACATCATATTGCAACAGCTTATCTTCATTCTTCTACCAATTCAATTACTAACATTTTTGAACCTTAAAAAGCATCTCAATATTTTAGCAATTTAACCCCATAACATTCAATTCATCACAGCTCTCCCCACAAAATCTTCTAAATTTAAATGCATCTCAAATTGTCACTACTTTTTCTCTCTCTCAAACAGTTTCAAAACTAATATCAATTTTTTTTTCCAAAAAAGTTTTTCCAATTTTTCTTTCCCCGTGAGGGCATTCAAGTGGCCATTCTTGAATACTCTCAGCACATAATTTCCCTTTTTAACCCCACCAGGCATTTGCAAACAATCAACCTCACACAACCTCACACAACCTCAACACAACCATCTTATTCATCCCAAAACTGATTTCATACATACACTCATTTATTCTTTACTGCAATTCTCTTCTCAAAAAGGAATCTAATCATTCAGTTCTCACACTTCTTAATCTCACACATCTCAACAGTTTTTCTTTCATTATCTTTAATCCCTCTTTACTTCTGTACTAACATTTCATCACTACTGTATGACTTTCTTTTACATTCCCATTCTCCCTCTTTTCACTTCTTTTCCCACATGGTAATCACACACTCTGGTTTTTCTCCTGTGATTAACCAAATTCTCTCTCTTCTGACTTACTTTTCCCCTTGCTTTCTCAACATATTCTCAACATACCTTAACTTTCTTCTTGGGTGACTTTTCTCTTACCCACATACTTGGTCTTTCCCCATCATATGTATGGTTCCAGGTTTTTCCTGAATTATCCTCTTTTTCCTTTTATTTGAAACCTGTAAAGATTATTTCTCTCAACACTAACAGCTACACACATTCTTTTGGCTAGCCATACACACATTCAAGTTTTCAGGAAATGCAAACAAACATTTTCCCTTTTTCCCAAAAGACAGACACATATTTCACATATATTTTTCTTTTCTCTTTTCCTTTTTTTTTCTCATTTCATCATCATTTCTTTTTTTCTTTTGGCTTTTTCTCGGAAGCCTATAACCATTAGTCTCTTTTCATTTTGAACATACTGACATTTAACAAAGAAACAAAGCAAAAACAGAAACAAACATACGGTTGCAAAGCAGCTAGAAGGGACAATGCATATAGACACATCCAGATTCCACAATACACAACACATAGGATCAACATAACAATGTTTCCAACCTGAACACTTTTTCCCTTTTTTAAAAAGTGCACTTTTCCCAACCTAGGAGTGAGCCTTCTGTGGTGAAAGCGACACTCAGGGGTTTTTTTTTTTTCTTGAGGTCTGCAGTACCTCTTTTGAAAAAAACTGTTCCCCCAAAAATGTTTCCCCAGGCATTTCCACAAATGCCTATACCTTAAAAAGCTAGCTTCTCCCTTTTTCTGGAACTGCAGCTGTTACTTCTCAATGCACTTCAGTCAAGGGGCCGAGGAAGGAACAGGCCAGTGGAGGCGATTTTTTTCTTGTGGGTACCCTTTTTCGTCTCCCCTGATCCATGCCTTGTCCGGCCCACCGAGTGAGAGGCATCAGCCCCCAAAAGCTTACCTTTCCTTCTTCCTGTTCTCCTGTCCCTGTTCGGGCGCCAATTGTGACGGAAGGTCTCCGTTTTCCAAGATTACAAGAGATTAGTGAAGAAGGAAGAGACAGAGACAGCTTTTGCAAGTTCACAGAATTTAATGCTTACCCAGGGTAAGGATGCCCCAGCTTCAACATGGCTGATGTGGCATAAGGCACTACCCCAAAAACACCCAGTATTTATAGCCAGAATTACCCAGTTTGCACATGCGCATAATTCTCTTGACATTTACACAATCTAATCAATATCAGTTTGTCCTCGAGAAATCGCAGCCAAGAACACTTGTTGGCAAGATACTATAATTTCCACTGCTCCTCCTTTCATCAGCTGACCTACCACGTTCCCCGATGATTTACATAATCTTTAGAATGAATCATAACTTCATATATTTCTCTTCACACATATATATGATTCCATACATCTTCATATATGTATCTTTAACTTATTCAAAGCAAGCATTTTCCCTTATTAATTCTTCTGTTAATTACTTTCACAATACATTATTTCCCTCAATTGATCCTTTTAAAAAGGTATATTAAATTGCCTGCTATTTACATCAACCAGACAAGAGGTGGCGCTGTTATACCATATCTTCAGATGTTTGTTTCTCTTAGATCAATAATTATCGATTTACTTTCAGAGCCAATTCTTTTGACCTTCCACATTTAGCACATAGCCGCCCTTCTATTTACTTACTTAAGATATGGTCTGCCTTGTCCTGTCCTGTCTTATTCCTGTCCTGTCACCATCTGTTAGTTTCCCTTCCTACTAGAATTACCCCCGCACTTTTAAGAAACCTTAAAAGGTAAGACTTCTTTATTTAACTTCATTAGTTTCATTAAGTTTTAATTATTTTTCTTCTTGACGACTGCCACAGTTGTGCAGTATGCTCTAGACACCTATGACTTCAAGTAAACCCCATTAAATTCAGTGGAACTTACTCTGTGAGTTACCATGCAGAAACCTGCACTAAATAGACAGTACTTTGTAGTTGGTTGAGTGAAAAATTACCAACTTCTAGTCCTAAACAATACTGCTTGTGGGGAGGGGGCTGTCTAGTGCATCACAAGTAATGAACAGAAAGAAACACCAAGGTGGATGTTTATGTGTATGACTTCTGATTTTTTTCAGAATCCAACATGGATCACTGTCGTCAACTTTTGTGTCCATATTCGTCAGTATCCTGGATGTTCATTTCCTCTTCTTGCACTCTTCTTGAGTAATCCAATGCAGCCTTCCAGATGTTAGGGGACTGCAGTTGTAATCAGCCCTAACCAGCATAGATAATCATCAAGAATCTTGGGAGCTGGAGAGCCACCTCATGCCCATGTGTAATGAGGGCATATTTGTTGCCCTGTTTCAGAATGATAAATAGACAGATTCATAAGCCAATATTGCAGCTATTGTGACTTAACATTTGGCTACCTTGTCTGACATAACAGGAGATTACATTTTTCAACAGTTCAACAATCACAAAGCAATTACTTTTTTTCAAAGAAAAAAAACAATTGGCGTAATTCATGGTTCCCAAAGGGTTTTTGATAAAGTTCTAAGTATATTGACATTGTAACAATGATGTTTTTGCTTTAAATTGGACATGCAATGAATTCATGGAAATTAAAACACGTAAGGGTATATGCCAGTCAACCTAGTTGAATAAAAAATGTAATCATCTACTAATTTCTTTGTTTCAGTTTTATTCTCTGATATGCAAACTTGATTGTGTTTCTTTAAAAATGTAAATAAACCTAATGAGTCCTAAAACACTTTATGTGAAAGCTCTAGGAAACCTTTTCATCTTCACTCAGACTAGAAATACACAAAGGCATCAAAGCGCATTCTTGTTCACAGAATGCCCAAATTAACAAAGATGTTGTTTAAAAACCTCTCAGGTGTCTTTACTGCACTGCCAATTTTTTCCCACTTTGGTTTTGATCAGAATGTACTCATCTTTGAAAATCTAAGTATGGAAAAAAGAAAAAAAACGTACTGATTTGTCCCTCTCCTAGAGATGGTTAGAATTTTCTTTCAGTTCATTTTTGATCAGAAGTTTCCCAGTATAACGAAGTGGGATCTGGAAGAAAGCAAAATTTATCCACTTCAATTGTATTCCAAAACTTAGGGGAAGCGGGTCTGGCTGGATCTGTTGACCATAGTGAAATGTATCTCTTTATATTTTACCCACAGAATAGCCCGTTGACTTTGCTGGGATTGATTCCATATGAATCATTCATAGAATTCTAGATTTGGTTACGTATAATCAAAATAATTTACATCAACTTGCATATTTTATCTTTATGTATCTTAGAGTTCCAAATATGAAAACTTTTCATATATCCTTTCATAAATTCAAAGGTTTCATATCAATTTGTTGCTTTTTTCAGGTTTTACTTCTACAGATTTGACTATTTGCAATTTTGTAGCTGTCTACACTTCTAGTTTGCAAGCCTTCACTCCTGTACCTCCGAGGATGAGAACAATTTTATCTAAATCTCCTGAAGTTTGCCTGACTTCTATCAAGAAGGATGAAAATGAGACTAAAGGAGATTTCTGCAACAGCCATGGAAGTGCCAGACCGACAGCAGTGGTGGCAGGAGCTTGCTCTCCTCTTCTGTCTCCTTTCCTGCCAACAGCCCTGGCCGATATTTTTCTTTCATGCCTTGGCACCATAAAGCCTATGGTTCATTCCCAAACTACCTCTGCTACACATCTACTGCCTGCACTGCCAGTCTCCAAACCTTCACCCTATGCTTCATAGGATGATGGTATGGTTTAATCTCCCTCTAAGCCATCCAGCAATGACAAACATGTTTAAGGTATATTTTATTATTTATTTATTTATTTATTTATTTATTGCATTTGTTGACCGCCGTTCTCAGCCCTTTCGGGCGACTCACGGCGGTGTACAACATATAAAAACAGTTTACAATACAACCCTCATACAACACAGTATACACGTAACATCAATAATACAACAATAATTACTCTAAATCATCTGCGTCGTCTCATCGTAAAATCATAAACCAATCTCGTATTCCATATTCCGTTCCAGTCATCAATGCCAATTGTTGTAATACTTAGTTGAACGCCTGCTCAATATTTTAGGATATTCTGTTAGTCCTGGAAAAAAAGATCAATTGATTCAAGCCTTTTTATCTACAAATGAACTCACTACTCAACAATAGATTAAATGGGTCTTCTAGTTAAGACTAAACAGCCCCTATGGCCAGTAGCCAGAGCTATCATTTAACATGGCACAAACTGAAGTCTCCTTTCTTCGGCAAATGTATACCAACCATTCATCTACATCCAACAATGCTTCACATCACAAGTAGTCTGTGGTCTAAGCAGGAGGAGTTCATTAAAATGAAGCATCCTTCAACTTGTCTGGCAAATTATGTGTTACTATTGTCCTCACAGTGACCATACATTTGGGATGCAGTTCTCAGTTGTCATCTTAATGATCCCAACTTGCCATGGCAAATGGGTGCATTGCAGTATCTGCTATGCACCTGACTACTGCAGTAATTACATTCAGCAATAACAGAGGTCACTGTAATGCAAAACCCTTAAGTTGTTAAAAAAACTTTGTCGTGAGGCTTTGAATTGAAATACAAAACATACTCGCTGGCCCTGATGTCACTGCTGGAATTCTTGCTAGATCTTGGTGCCAGAATGGGATGTAGCTTTTTCAGTCAGACTTGCTATTGTCTCCTTAGCTTCTTTTGTTCTTAGCTTATCTTTCTGAGCGACCTCTTATTGAATTTGGTAGCTGGCAGTTCATTGTTGATAGCTGTGAGGACAATAGCAGCATATCCTTTGTCAGACTAGGAAGGAATTCTCTTCAAAGTACATCTAAGAGAATGTTACTTTTTGCAGCTCTGAAAACATGTCTGGGTAAATGTGTTTAACGATGACCCACAATCCCTCCTGGAAGAGACAGCAGTTGCTGAAAGTCATCCAACATTATTACTTATTTAACACTTACCTTATTCAACATTCATATTAACACTCCTTGACATTCTTATAACTGCAATCCTTGAAAGAACCCAGCGCAAATATTGCAGATAAGGTTCTCAGGCATCCCATTTAGCATAGAACATACCACATTTGTGAGCTTGTCATTTGGTCTTATATCAAGGCCATATAAGAGTACACAAATATTGTATTCTTCAGGTGTTTAGAACCGGGCTCAATTCAAAGTGCTGGCGTTGGCCTTTAAAGCCCTAAACGGTTCTGGCCCAATTTACCTATCTGAACGTATCTCGGCCTATCAGCCCACCAGGACCCTAAGATCTTCTGGGGGGGGCCCTGCTCTCTATCCCGCCTGCTTCACAGGTGCGGCTGGCGGGGACGAGAGACAGGGCCTTTTCTGTGGTGGCCCCGCGGCTATGGAACGCCCTCCCCATGGAGGTAAGATCAGCCCCCTCATTGATGGTATTCCGGAAAAGACTAAAAACCTGGATGTTCAAGCAGGCGTTCGGTTAACTCAGTGCAATAAGTGTAATGATTGAAGGACTGGCAATTTGGACGACGAAACTGGATCCCGATTTTAGTCAAGAGATGAATTGGATTGTTTATTGATATATGTATTGTGGATTGTATTTTTATGTTTTTAAACTGTATACTGTTGTTTGTTATAAATTGTTGTAAACCGCGTTGAGTCGCCGGCTAGGCTGAGAAACGGCGGTATACAAGTATAGCAAATAAATAAATAAATAAATAAACAAGTACTAGCTGCATCCCCAACAGACCAACCCCCAAGGATTTGATATGCATCCATCTGACCAAGTGCTAAGAGCCAATGATGGCCTTACTGCTGATCTGTTAGTGCTCTTCCTCCTGTCCAGCTTGTGTGATTCTTTGAAAAGTAGACCTCTAAGTTCATAGGATTTTTGTAAGAGGCCTCCCTGCATTAACCCTGTGTGACAGGTCAAGTTGCACTGGGTCTTATATTAGCACAACAAAGTTACAGCCCAAATGTGGTAGAATGTCAGTCTGTTGCAAGCACAGTTCCCCCTTTATACTTTCAGGACCTAGTCAACTGAAATGAGTGAATTTGAGACAGATATAGATTTCATAAGGGATCTCTTATGAAATTTGAGCCCTCTTTAGACCTGCCTCATGTTTACCAAACTGTCTTAGGCTAACTTAGAGAGGGCTGTCATTTTTGATCTATAGAAAACTTGCCAGCCCTAATTGTAGGTAATGAGAAAGAGTGTGGCCCCTTCTACACTGCCCTATATCCCAGGATCTGATCCCAGATTATGTGCTTTAAACTGGATTATATGAATCTCCACTATAATCTGAGATCAGATCATGGGATATAGGGGCAGTGTGGAAGGGGCCATAGTTGTTTAATTAAATCCACCTAAATGATCTCATGGCTAGTGGCAACACATGGTAGAAGAATACTTTGCTTAGATAATAAGTGGCTCGCACTCAAAGTCCATGGACCTCTTCATATGGGGCAAAAATTTTGCAGCTTGGATGCACATTACAGGCCCCACCCACTTTCCTTGCAAAGTAGAGGCAAAACGTTGAAAAGTGCTTTGTCCTCCATCACTGAAAGGAAAATGTTGTTCGGGTAGCTCCAATTGAGTTACCCACACTTTCCTCCCCAAATCCCCATGTGATGGCAGAAAGGGCAATGAGGTAACTTGTGTTGCCACCCTTTCTTCCATCTGATGGGGGATGAGGAGAGGAGGAAGGGCATGTGGGGTGCCATGAGCTGCCTCAGGCATCTTTCTTTTCACCGGTGATTGCCAACACAATAGCATGGCCCGAATGTGCTGCATGTCTTGCAACTGTATAAAGAAGGAAAAGCCAAGACTAAATCATATCTTTCTCTCACCCCACTGAGACCCCTTCTACACTGCCATAAAATCCAGGTTATCAAAGCACATAATCCATATTATCTGCTTAGAACTGGATTATATGAGTCTACCTTATAATCCAGTTCAAAGTAGATATTCTCAGTTTTATATGGCAGTGTAGAAGGGGCTTTAGAGGAAAAGAAAGAAACTAGGGAATTTAAAGGCAGCTGAATAGTGGGGTGATGGAGGAATACAAGACTAGGTTCTTGTAGGTTTTTTCGGGCTATAGGGCCATGTTCTAGAGGCATTTTCTGACGTTTCGCCTGCATCTATGGCAAGCATCCTCAGAGGTAGTGAGGTCTGTTGGAAATAGGAAAATGGGTTTATATATCTGTGGAATGACTGGGGTGGGGCAAAGAGCTCTCTGCTGAAGCTAGGTGTGAATGTTTCAGCTGACCACCTTCATTAGCATTTGAAGGCCTGGCTGAGCCTGGGAAAATGTTCTGTTGAGAGGTGTTAAGATGTGCCTGGTTGTTTCCTCTCTGCTGTTTTGCTGTTAATTTTAGAGTTTTTTAATACTGGTAGCCAGATTTTGTTCATTTTCATGGTCTCCTCCTTTCTGTTGAAATTGTCCACATGCTTGTGGATTTCAATGGCTTCTCTGTGTAGTCTGACATGGTGGTTGTTGGAGTGGTCCAGCATTTCTGTGTTCTCAAATAATATGCTGTGTCCAGGCTGGTTCATCAGGTGCTCTGCTATGGCTGACTTCTCTGGTTGAAGTAGTCTGCAGTGCCTTTCATGTTCCTTAATTCGTGCTTGGGCGCTGCGTTTGATGGTCAATACAAACGCAGGACTGTTGA